CTTTGATCTTCTGTAGTGCAGTAAGTAGGCATCACACAGTACAAATATTAGTTCACAAAGAGTACAATAATATCAGTACATATATACATAGTTAAAATATCACTCCTCACATCCATGGTTTATATCAATATAACAGAATACCCACAATATAAAACTGTTGCTCAGCAACATCACCTCCATCATCTTATTACCTTTATAATACTATGTAGTCCTAACATGTTACAGCGTTGGGTATCAGATAACATACATTTGTCAGTGTTTTAAAGTTTCTTACATCCAAAAAAATCTCTCTAGATAAGATAATGTCTTATCTCATACTGACCTGATCAGAAGGCTATTAAACAACTGACAAGAACTTCCTTCATCACCAGTTACACACACTATTAAAACCCATGACAGACACTTGCCTTGTACTATCAACATACAGTCTGTTCTAAAGTTCTCACAATATTGTTGGAGTATATACTTTGGGTGTATCATGTTCTTTAGCCTTTACATTTAGCTTAAATTTATTTCTTCTTTGAAAAATAAATACAATAATTCTACAATGTTTTTGTGTAGGATCATCAGCTGTCTTGATATGAGAATACAAAATACAAAATTCCTGTGGTGGAGATCAAATAAAACTTTAAAGAAAGGGGACATCTTTATTGGTTTTCTTGATCAAAAATAGGGGTAACATGGTGAATACCAAAATGGTTGCTAGGTGGCCATCTTGAATATCAGACCATGCTGAAAATATGGCAAGCATAACTAGGACACATACTGAGATTTTTTATACAGTTTTAAGAAGATCTCTTCAATAGTTCTTCAGAAAAAGCAGTAATAAATTCTAAAGGCAAGATCAAGGTACCTTAAAATAAAACTGCATGACTCTGCCAAGTTATGGCTACCCTCCCATATATGACCTGTCAAGATCTAGCTACCTTAACACAAAAGTACATGACCCTGCTAAGAGCTAGCTACTTACCATAAAACTACATGACCTGTCAATATCTAGCTATATATATAGCTGTCTTACCATAAAACTACATGCCCATGCTAAGATCTAGCTACTTATCATAAACTACATTACCCTGCCAAGATCTTGCCTTACCATAAAACTACATGACCCTGCCAAGATCTTGCCTTACCATAAAACTACATGACCCTTGTAAGATCTAAACCATCAAATAAAAAATTTACCATGAGTCTACATGTCCCTGCTAAGATACACTCAACAGTAAAACCATGCAACCTCTCTAAAATTTATCTAGATCTATACAAAATATTTCCCAGAGAAAAATTTCACTTTTAATGTCAACCAGTTGACAAGCCAAATATCTCCTACTATCAAACTACTAAGGGCAGCCATTAAACATTCAAAAGTAATTCACAGCAAAATGTTTGAATGTATCTGTTTAAAAGCTGTTTGAACACTAAGAGGTAGCCAAATTGACTGCTCCAGGCAATGTAAGGTTGACAGCAATGTGCGATAAGATGGCTACATGGGAACAGTGACACAATAAGAAATATCACCTTTCTGCATCATTTTCACAACTACTTTTTCTACAATACTTTATAGCTTATATCCAGATGTACAAGTTAATTTTTAGATCTCACTATCTCACTACTACACAGGCCTAGAAAAGATTTTGTCTCTATACAAAAATATAAGTTATGGATTGTTGTAATCAACTGATTCCTCCTGGTGCAAATGTCTTCATGAAAAACAGACTAATTCCCTGGAGATATGACAAAGAGTGCTGATGAGCTATAAAGCAATAAATTTCCCACACAATTGGCCAGAACTCATGTTAACTTTAATATTTAGTAGAAAATAATTGTGTATCCATTTCACACCATCTAAACAGCTGATAAGATATATGAAATCATATCTGACTCTTCCTATGTACAGTTATATTAAAGATAAATTTAACCAAAATGTTTCTTTTAAACAGAAATTTAGCTGTATAAGTGAGAGTCAACAACTGCTAGAAAACATATTTAAATTGTTTGGTTCAAACAGCTATCACAATTAAAGAAAAATGTAAAATGGACAGCCATTATGAGATTAAAACATTTCTTAACAGAAAACATGGAGTAAAATAAGGAGACCAACGGCTCATTTTTTATGTGTGTGCCAAATTTACTGTTTTAGAATTCCAATAAATAATATTCTGAAATTTGTGTCAGTGAAACAAAGCAGATTAATGCTTTAACATAGATTTTAACTTGTCTTTCTATCATTTAGATTTTTCTTAGTCATCTCATAGGCTTCAAAATTAAAACCCTTAACATCACTGATAAGTCCTTGAAGAACAAAACAGCTGTATGATGCAGTATAATTCAATGCTTACCTCTACTGTATCTAATTCTAAATTTGTATCAAAAGGTGCTTTTCACTTGTGTGTCTTTTGTACAATCATCTAAATCTGTTTTGTATTCCACATTTCTTTCTAAAAAAAAACAAACTTTTTCAAAAGAAATCTTGTTACGACACACTTGAGTGAATTGTGACGCAGCAATCTGATGGAAAAAAAAATAGTCATAGTAACTAAATCAAATTGGAAAGGGGTCATCTGACCTCAAATGATACAGATAACTTGTACCTTGGGACCAGAATATGGTAGGTTAAAAGGGTGTGGTTCCTTTATAGATATTGTCCCCTAACAGAAAAAAGAACAGACTGACATGATTATGGACAGTACTATGTTTGATGAACTACTTTCACTACTTTGCAATACCATCATTTTTTTCAGTCATGAAAAACTACCACACTAATATATCAGTTGCTATGGTGACCTGGACCTACACTATATGTCATGAACTTGACTGACCTACAAAGTCACCTCTAGATATACCTGGCATTACTACAATAACACAGCATGGGGAATCCTCTACAATGTCACCTCTAGGTATGTCTCCAGACCCAGTAGCATAATTTATACCTGTCAGATGAGGTACAATACCACAGGGAAAATTCCAAATAAAGTCACCTTTATGTACATGTGACAAAACAGTGTAACATATAAAAGTAGCACCTAAACCAGACAGATTTGACCGGTGCATAAAACTCCGTCAAAACACACCATTTCCTCCCGTTTTTGTGGATATATCCAAGATCTGATGTGTTAAAAATTAACTTATCTATTGTGGTGATGTTTGACATGACCAGGATATATGATATAATCTTTTAAAGTGTATTTTCCCTTACTACAACTTATCAACCTTTTACCTTGATACTTTTCCTGATGAATTGTCAGTGTCAAGGAAACTTCCCTCCTCACAGTCACACAATGAGTCAGAAATAAATCTCCCCTCCTCACCATCAACACAATGAGTCAGAAATAAATCTCCCCTCCTCACCATCAACACAATGAGTCAGAAATAAATCTCCCCTCCTCACATTCAACACAATGAGTCAGAAATAAATCTCCCCTCCTCACCATCAACACAATGAGTCAGAAATAAATCTCCTCTCCTAACCATCAACACAATGAGTTAGAAATAAATCTCCCCTCGTCACATTCAACACAATGAGTCAGAAATAAATTCTCCTTACGATCAATAAAGCGAGTCAGAAATAAAATTTCTCTCTTCAAAATAAAAACCAAGTCAGGAATAAACTTCCCTGCCTCACCATCAACACAAAGCTTCCCCTCACACAATCATCTCAACAGTCTACAGGGTCACTTGGAATCAGATACTGGTCACAAATAAACGTAAGGAAATAGATAATTCTATAAGACCTTCCCTCCTAAAGTAATTGGAAAGCAATCAATCACTAAAGACAGGTGGATGAAAGACCAAGATGAGCTACGGCTGTGGCCCTCCAAAACCAAACTATATTAAGTACCGTAAATGTCCAGCATAGCTACCTCTACAGATCATAAGCAACATTCTCAAATGAAGAAATGATTATATATACCACAAGCAATCTGCAGTCCCATCTATGCTCAAACACAAATATCAAAATGTACAAAGGTCATACACTCTCTATCATGTGGGCAAATCATTTGATTTTGTGTACGACTCTATTTTTCTAACAGGTGTCTGCATGCACAACTCTGAAATAGTCTGTGATATGTAATTTATGTCTTACGAAAATATGCATGAAACTTTGTATTTATATAGTACATTTCAATGCCTCATGGAAAAGCATTACAGTAATGATAGCAGGACACAAAGCTCATGCCAGGCAATATTTCATCTGAGTCAAACTTATCCAATCTCAACATGGGACCAATTCAATTGCATGCTTTAGAGTACTATACTTTTGATGATAACATGTAATAAGCTATTACTAATTCATTGGTAGGCTTTGGTTTCATTCGTTTTCATATCAGCCTTTCACATGCATGTAAAAAATGTTGCTTCTACAAATAAGAGCAATACACAATGAGCAGTAATACTCAACAATTTTTGTTTACTCCCAGATTTATATTTGTAATCCTGTTTTTATATGAGTCAAAATAACAATATAAATAATATTAAATTCTTGACCAAATTTTCTCCTCTTAACAGTTTTCTTTTCATTACTGGATTTGTATTTTAAATAACAGAAAATAATTAAAAGTTGTTGCAGACTAGATGATCTTGGAATTAATGTAAGATACCTAGGGATGCAAGAAATGAATTATGTAGTGTTAACATGTACATTGTCAACGGAAAAACAGGAGCCTTCACAACATACCCTGCCATAGCATTCATACAACTAATATAATTACTCAAAAAACACCATCTTGTCGACTCGTGTACAAGTTTCATTGAACAAATTACACATCTCCGTTCAGATATACCAAAATTCCAATATGTCTCTTATGTATAATAAAGACAAATAAACATGTGCAATTAAGACGCGAGGTACACAAAGGGTAAGGTTTGTAACCAAGGTAACAAGTCACTAAACAGGTGTCCCATGAGGTATATTTGTGCCACCTGTATGATTATTATCTACATTTACCTGTAATCAAAATGTCTACATCTACTTGCAATCAAAGTCTATAGAAATAGGTTACCTGTCATGATGGAGGATAAAAGCTGTTGAAGGTCCGCCATTTCTGGCCCCAGGAATTCAAGAGCAGTAGCTGGTAACTGCGAGTGCACTGGTGCATGACCAGGGGACTGAGAGGTTAGAGGAGGCGCGACATCAGGGGTAGTAACAACATCCAAAGCTTCGGGAGTCAACTGCAAGAGAAGTGTATGCTGTGCATGCCACGAAAACCACTCATAACAACAGAGCATGACGGAGATAAAAGGTTTGGTGAATAATGCTGAGGAGTAGAAGGAAGAGGAGGGGGAGGTGGAGGACAGGGAGGAAAAAGGAGGAAGAAGAAGAATAAAACAAGCAAGAAGGAGAAGCTAATGGAGGTAGAGAAATGGTGTTAAGTACTATTGGTCCATCATGATCAGGCTTGACCGACAGGATCAATCATGCTTAGTACATATAAATGGTGCAACGACAAAACATTCCAATCACAGATATTAAAATACTGATAATCCATGCAGCATTCTATCTAGATTGTATGAACAAGAAGACAAGAGGCCCAAATGTGCCTGCAGTGTTCACCTAGTTTATATTTGTTAGCCAAATGTCTTGCCTCTAGACCAATTTTTTCATGAAGTCATTTAAATGTTTTAACAAATTTGACTCCTGTGACCTTGAATATAAGTCAAGGTAATTCATTTTCACAAACTTTGTTGGACTTCATAATTGGAACATACCAGCCAAATATCATGCCTCTAGATCTTTTAGTTCCTGAAAAGAAGTTGTTTAAATGTTTTAACAAATCTGAACCCTTGAATATAGGTCAAGGTCATTCCTTTCACAAACTTTGACAGGCTTCATCCTAGGAACATACCAGCCAAATATCAAAACATTTGGTTCATTGGTTATTCAGAGGAAGTCGTTTAAAGGAAAACTTTGACACCGGATGGACTGGTGGATGAACAGACAACAGACAGTGTCACAGCATAAGCTAACTTGGCCCTTCCGGCCAGGTGAGCTAAACAAATAAAGTCAGGCAATGTAGACTGATACAAATACATACATATAGTGCACATGCTTATATGTCCATATATTTGTGAGCAAAGTACAATACAATCTGTTTGAACTTCTTTCAGTATGTGCATTAGACATAGTTACTTAAACCCAATTCCAGTCATATGTTGATGAATAAATTACGAAATCTCTTTGATGTTTATCTGATGTGTTTATATACTTTCAGTCTGGATCAATAAAATGTATTATAGACTCCAGACTTCCAACTGGGATTTAAGTATCTATTAACCTATACCGCAGTGTAGTCATGCAGTTTATCTCCAAATGATGTGGAGTCACAATATCTTCATCATATGTCATTACATGTTTTTGAGAAAACATGCCAACTCATATTTCAATATATGTAAAGACTGGTAATATAGTTATGAACTTAAAACCGTAGAAAAATAGAAAGCACATCATGTGTTCTCAAGAAAGGTACCTACACATTATAATAAGTTTGAAATTTAAAGGCCAGTATTTTGTTTATAGCACAAAGACTTTCCTGTTTCAAATAATGTTTTTTGTTCATGCTTTTTACAAACCCAAATTTCCCTGTTAAAAGGACAATAATTGTTTATAGTCCTCACATAAAACCCACAACTCTTTAAAGTACTGATGTCAACTGCGTTAAAAGCATTCAATTGTAAGATGTGTGATAAAAAAATACATAACACTCTAGAAATAGAGGGTCATGTATTTATTACTAGTTACATCCTGTGCTGTGTATAGAGCCCCTTGAAGTCAGTCAATTTGAGACGGGGTCTCTTTGTAATAACTTGTAGCTATCCTACTGAACAGCATAAAGGAGAAGTTTATTGCCATCCACTGCATTTTGGAAAGTGTTTTTGTTAAAGGACATGGCGACCATGTCAGCATAGACCAGTCCCTGTCTCAGGTCTGGAGCAGCACCTGAGCTTGCCAAGTTTAATGCAGTACCAATTGAGTTGTCAATACTGAGGGTCATACACAGTTCCAAACCAGCTAGAGATAGTAAAATATGTTGATAAAAGTCAATTCATAATTGTTCTGAAACAAAAGTTTATCAGAAGTTTTCTTAAGGATACCATGATTATGTGAATTTTCTGTTTGGCAGCTACTTCTGTGACAGAATTTGTGATTCGATACCTGTCAAGGTTCAGGTGTGTTATTTAACAACTAGGTCTTCCTTTTAATACTTGAGATATTGCATATTTAATGGATTGTTAAGAAAGCATGAAGGATTCACAAGTTTTTTTCATTTGAACAGCTTTACAAGAAAACATGTTTTTTCTAACAATTTAAAAGTTATTTATTACTGACCTCATAGGTGTGGGTTACATCTCAAACGTGTTCAGTATTATCAACAGGTATCGCACTTAACTGGCAAATCAACTGTGTTTACTAGCCTACAATATACTTCTACATACTAATGGTCATCAAACGCCTGTCTTGTAATACTCTACCTCTTTTTAACTGTGTGGATCTTTGGGCATTATCAGCAAACTTCAGTAATAATAGAAGCAGTTTTCATTTTCCTAAAAACCCCAGTGATATCCTATCACTTCCAGTTTAGTGATTATAAATAATCTTAGGCATTCTCAGCTGCATGTGAAAGTTACAGCTTTTCTTCATTTATAGTATGCCAATCAAATGTTTTACAGGAATCTATTGTAACATCCCCCTTTCTCCCCCAGAAAATAGATTCATCTCCAAATAATCTTGGAGAAAAAGACAATATACACTCCAGTAAATTTACACAATAGACATACACATTTATATGCAGAAAAATGATTCATTTGGTTATGCATGGAAGGCTGCATTTTGTTCTCAGCTTTATGACTATACAACTGCACAACAACAAAAGCATAAACATGTAACAAACTAAAAATACAAATAACAGGTATTTCAGGAGTGTGGTACACAACCACGGTACAAACATGTCTCCAATTCCAAAATACAACACCTTTATACTAAACTCTGAGGTGCTATCACAGTACAACACTTCCATACATCATGTGCAATATATATACCCATCTGCTTGCTGATCTGTTGTAAAAAAAATTGAGCCACAGTAGCAGCTGTTAAACTGAAGTTGAGATAATCCAGTGTATAGCCACAGGTATGATACATACCTTATTCTAGTTACCATTTAACAAGTCCACATCAATATAATAGAAAGATCCATGGTTTGTCATGTTGAGAATAACTTGTTAACAGTAACATGTCAGGAATCAAAATAGATTAAAATTACATTAAATATCAATGTTTCATTATCTTTTAATTTTCAGTTTTTTAGAAAAAAAATTACATAATTTTAACTCTGCATATTATTAACATGAGGGATATATTTAATATAGGTTTTAGAATATAAGCTAAGGGGAAAAATTGATGAATTCCTCCACTTGAACCACTAGTAAATAGATTGAAATCTCTGGAGAGATATGTGTTTACACTTAATGCCTGCCACAGCTGTGGATACTATATATATAATTGAAGTACATACGTTAGAAAGCTCTGTGAGGCTGACTGAATCCCCACCTGTTGTTCTTCTCAGTCTAGAAAGGTCTTCTCCATAACCATCACCGGCTTATACACACAGCAATATATATCAACTTTTTAGCATGCTTCTGATAGGATACTTCAATAACTTCACCAAACGTCCTTTGTCCTTTTTTCTTTATTGGGACTCTACTTTGGAGCCAATCAAATATTTAGAGGTCAATATTTAGACACTTTCATCCTTAACTTTGATACAAAATGTTCACTATAACATGCTAACAGTCCCATATTGTCTTATACAGGAAAGAAAATATTGAGGTATGTACATGTATATAAGCTGGAGTGCACCCAACAATAATCCATTACCTTGACGTTTTATAGTACTTTGTATATGTCTATATATAGACAAATGTGTATTTTACTAAAGATAACAGATTCATGTGATAGAACTCTGGTTAAAACAATAGTGTTTAAAATACTCTCCTTGGTCTTCATAAAAATCACACATTTCAACAAAAAGTAACACTTTTATTAGTTTTACTTTAGTAGCTTCCTCTCAGTCAGATCCCGGAGATAGATATATCAAAATGTTTGGATAGCTTACATACACCCCCGTAAGAATATGCATTCAGTTTGTTAAAGTATTTGCTGTTGTTTGTTGATCTTTTAAATTTGAGCTTGTCAATTTCTCTTGATGCAAAATAGGAACAAACAAAAATGTTTTGATTCTCCAATAATGATTTTCCTTCCTTTAAATCTTTAGATTCAAAATCTTGCTTCTACAAGTAGATATGGCCGTATATAATATTGACCATTTGCTAGTCATATTTGCACAATTTTTTAGTCTGGTTTTTTTTTTTTTTGCAAATAGTATACTTTGATGTGTTTTTGTTACATTTACCTGATAAAAAATCATTATAGTGAATGTCATGCACATCCAATCACCCGTTCGCATACCAGATGTATATAACTTTGCTTACAATGCCTAACATATACACAGCAATATATAATATAGTCTTCAACACTATAATCATCAGCAGATATAATTTTGTATCTTGGGAACTGGCCTACAGTTTCTTTTTTGTTTTTTTTTCACCAAACTATTTTAAATACAATATTCTAGCATAAACACTCCGGCCTCATTTCATTCATTACTACATCACAGATCAAATTGACAAGAGTACAACAAATTGATGTTACTGTTATATTAACATGTTTAAATGTATTTAGCTCTGTTTATATATCATTAGTATCTGGTTACAAGTTCTCTTTAGGGTAAATATACATGGATGATCTACAGAGGCGAGTACACTAGCACTCATACGGAGAAAAATGAGAATCTAGAGAAGAGATATTTATAGATTAGAAAACTATGATATCTAAAGTTGATGAATCTCGACATTTCCCATGCAGAAAAATGCATTGGTGATGGTGATATGATATAGTTGTAATCATGGTCATTGTAAAGCTTGATCACTATCTAAGTGAAAGTATGACACGACTGATCAGGTTGCTTTTATTAAAGCTTGATGATAGATGTCCAGGTGAAATAGTGAGTTCTGGTTAATATTTCCGAATTATGCAGATAAATCTTGAGAAATTAGGACAACTCAAAGTTACATTTATCATAATTACAGATTGTGAAAAGGACTTTCATAATTATCTTGACAGGATCATTTCTTTAATTTTCAATAAGAAATTGTCCATATTTCTCAAAATCATCTTGTAAACTTCCGGTTTCCATTCTTTGAACAAAGCAGAAATCATTAAGTCTTCAACACCTACATTTGTATATCTTTTCTTTCTTTCGATCTTCTTTGTATTTATTTCAAATTGATAATAAATTTAGGTACCTCCATCTGAACTCCATGCAATACTAGCCAATTACATTGAAAAAACAGCATTAACATATAAATTAGTTTTAAAATCAGATAATAATTTATCAATTTAGAAATAAATAAAATATCCAGTACAATTTTCTGCTTTAATCAAGGGAAGGAACACTGAAAACGCTGATCAATGTCAGTCATCAGTGATGATGTATGGAGCAGGACGCAGCAAATGATCAATAGAGACAGCCAGCCACTGCACTTCAACGCAGCAGTAGGTAGTACAGGCTATGTCAGTCAACAAGGAAAGATCAAAAGTAAATAGGACAGAACAAAGCAGGTTGAACAGGAGGAAAAGACATATAACAAAATATTTCAAAAAAAGAAAACAAATCATTTTAAAAAAGAAACAAAAATGCAAATAATCCACATAAAAACCAAAAATGGGGAGGTAAAACAAAACAAGGAGGAAATGTCAAACAAACAAATAAAAGGCTAATTAATTCTAAAACAGAATGAAGGGAGAATGCTGTCAGATATAAGTCAACATTGTCAACAGTCAATCCTGTCCAGAGTTGGCACATACATCAATTTCCTCACAATTATTTTGAGCCAGAGAAGTTATTTTTATCAATAACAATAGGAATTCATCTCACAACATAAAACATACTTTATTGCACATAGTGTCAAATTGTGAATTTTATCAAAAAGGAGCAAATATATTGCAGCTATCCAAAAAGGCAGCTATGTCCTCTAAGGGAAAAATAAAATAAATAATAGGGTTATGATAAGGATTAAAAGCTAGGAGTTTGAAACAGTTTGCATGTCAAACACAGTCCCTCCCTTCATTTTGCATTTACACAAACCTGCGCGGGCTTCCTCATGGGAGAGGAGGAATCTGTACCAGCAGACTGCCGCCCCGCCCCGCCACTCCCATGCACAACACTCACAGGTATGTGCACAGCTTTAGGTGTTGCACGATTACTTGAGTCATTGGGCGTGTCTTTGCACACAGAGACCCCAACTTTGGGGGGAGGGGCCGGCTTCCCCGGAACTGGGGAGTTCAACACAGGCTTGTTAGGGGGCAGAGGGGGTGGTGTTCCCCTGCCTAGTGGGACCATTTTGCGTGGAGAGGTGTTGGCAGCACTGATATTTGGATTGTTAGCATTTTGTGAGGCTACATTCACAGTCAACATTTTGCCTCCAGACGATATAACAGCTGAGGTCCCTGGGGCAATACCAATTCTTGTACCAGAGCCTCGGTAGTTCTCTGACTTATCAACAGATACAGCCCCTACGGGGCCTACTCTCATTTCAGATGTATCTGATCCAGCCATTGCACTCCTCTCGGGGGACCGAGCAGGAGAGTTAACTCCATAACGAACAGTCTTTAGAACAGCGTTTTCTCCAATCCCTGCTGGAGAATAGGGTCTATCTTCGGAGATTCGAACTCCTCCATCCACAACCACTGGCTTTGAAGATTTTGGCACAGGTTTACCTATCGTGGGACTAACTACTGTTAGAGTGGCTCCTCCTAACCTTTCTGTACCTCCTCGAGCAGGAGAAGATTTTATCTCTATGCTTTGTTGAGAATCTTTGGCAGTGGAAGCTGACGACATCAACTGTTTCTGCAGTGCATCTACCTGCATTTGTAGAACATCCACCTGGGACTGTAATTCTTTGTTTTTACTATCACTTTTACCAAGACGATTTTTCAGTTGTTCTCTCTCTAGATCAAAGTCATTCAACTGTTTCTCCATTGAAGCCTCCATCTTAAGGGATTTTTTACTCTCTTGCACAAGGCCCTCTGCCATTGTTATAGTTTTATTTTTTTCATCTTTCAACAATTGGTCATATTGATTACACTTCTGTCTATCAATAACAAGTCTTTCAATTAATTTCTTTTGTTCCTTAATAAGCATAACCGCCACCTGTTTATGTTTCACAGAATTTGCACGTTCTTCCTCTAAACTTGCAAGTGTCTTTTTAAGATCCTTCTCTAGTTTTTTATTCTGACCTTTCTCATAATCAATCTGTGAAAAAAAAGACTTAGAGTACTTATTTATATTTATACAGGAAAATATTATTGTGAACACAATTTGTTTAAATACAGAACAACCTTTTCCCAATTATAGAGCTTCATGCATACATTACTGGAACAATTCGGAAAAAATACAGAAAAATCTATCTGCCAAAACACTATTGGGATGGAAGTCAATGGGACATCTGATGGCTACTTTAATGAATACCTCATAAATTGAAGTCAACATCCCAAGACTTATTTCCGTTATAAAAGTCATTTTTTGTATAGGCCGTACCTCCTGGCGAAGGCGTTCTCTCTCTTTCTCCAGCATGTACGTCACATCATCACCCTGGGCAGTGTCCTGAGCATGCTTTCGCTTCTCATCTTCCAACTCGCTACATACCTACAACACCATCAAAACCATAAAGCGAGTCTTTTCAGCCATCTTATGCTGGGAATTCCATCGAGAATATTGCCAAAATGACTCCACTTTTCAAATCTATTAACCTATTTTTAGAGAGTTTCAGGTCTTGTAGGTTTGTCATAGAACATTTTTAGATACATACCTTGTGGTAGCGTTTCTCAGCTGTAGCTAACTGCTCCCTCATCTTTAGTTGTGCCTTCCGTTGTGTAGCAATGAGATTCTCCAGTTGTGCCAACTGGTTGTCGTACATAGATTTGATAGCGGACTCATCAAAGGTGTTATCTTTCATATTGTCAGAATCCCTCTGCAATGCCTGGAAAGGATCACCTAATCCAAACCGTCCATATTTGGCCTGATAGAGTAATTGTTTAGCTTTCTCTGCCTGTAAATAAAACAAATAAAATATATATCAGAAATATGTTACCTACATCACCTACATGTTTGAATAACCTTAACCCAGGCAAGATTTAAAGTGATCATGATGTATATTTTTGATGGTATATTTTTTCAGCATAACATATCATCCAGTCATGTATGATAATATATTCATCACCTTAAAAATTGTTCAAATATCAAATCAAAGTGTTCAAATATTCCGTACAAGCAAATACTGACACGCTACAAAAGTTCAATTTAGCTAAAATAAGACTTTTGAGGAGTGGAAAATTGAATATGAAACATTCATTGGTAAGTTTGCTCTGACAACAGGAAAATATATATAGCAGATATATTGTCATCAACTCTTCAGTTGGTGTGGTGTACATAACCTCATGTTACTCGCTTCTGTATTTCTACATGTTCCAGGGAACATTTCTTTGTAATCCTATTAGAAAGCATATTACAAGAGCTACCATATTTTAATGGATCTCCTCGTTGTACCTGACTTATCAAACTTAATGAGGCTACATCAGCCTGTACAAATGATACAAAAAATAGACAGTCATTATACACAACTAAGAGTCAAACTGCTTAAATTACATAGCTGAAGGGCACAATACCAGTAAAGACTAACCTTCAAGGTTGCTATGACAACATCCCTTGCTTGGAGCTCTCCTTCCAGGTAACTTAGTAAACGTAACAGGTCAGCTTTGTTCAGGTCCATCTTAGGATGACGCTACAAGATAAATCAAGGTTTAAGAATCTGTGTACACTTTTAAAGAAAGTTTAACATTCAGAGTCATTTTACAGTCCTTGTCTAGTCAAAAACTGCTTCCCGAGGTCTATTTTCAAATAAGCTGTTGCTTTGATTTGTGTGTACAAAAAGATGTGATGTAATATAATACACAGTACATGTTTCCTTCATCTCTTTTCAATCACATAAATTACAAATGGACATACTGTTGTTGACAAAAGTTTGTAATTATAAGAAAATATCTGCACTGGTTTTTTCCGTCTTGGCTTGATGGTGATGTGACAGTTCTAGTACACCAACCTAACTCTCCCAATGTTTGGAATGTACTGAACCTTCCGCATTCTAATGTATATAATTAATTGTGTTACATGTATGTATACCCAGTAATGATTTGATAATTTCTCTGAGAAAATGTGACATATGTACAGCTACTGACAGAGCTTATTGTAGTTAACAAATATAATGCATGTACACACACTGAATAATAACCTACTATATCTATAATTAGTTACAAGCAAGTTTAAGGAGTGTAATCAAATATACACTTGTATCACTGTATGTGACCCTATACACTTAATACTTTGTTATTTGTTCACATAAAAAGTATCAGCAACATATTGTTGTTATAATTAATGTGATCGTATCTTCCATCTTTTGTCCTTTGTCTGTTGTAAAGACATATCCCATAAAAAGTATCATCAGACATGCATGTTCAGTTATGAAATTTCAATTATGTTACAGGATGTGTAAACAGATTGAACAATATTTGAGACATCCCATGCATTGTCCTGCATGTGTACATGTATATTGTTTATAAATTTACAACGTCATATCAACAACGGATCAATGAATGCATTATGTCTGTGATTGGTATCAGACATCACGCATCAGATACATATGTATTAGGTCTCTGGTAACTGAAAAACATCAGAGTGTTATAATATATATCTGTAATAGGTCTCCAGATCTCTAATAATTGAAAAACATTGGAATGTACTAACATCTACACATAATGTATTTGGTCTCTAGTGATTATAACAACTTATTTATATAATGAAGTGAAATTTATTTACCAATGATGAACTTCCAAATATGTACAAGTCTCTAATTAAAAGACCTTATGTATTTATCATTACAAATTAACTACAAGCAAGGGTCTTGTTCCAGCATCTTTTCTAACTAAATAAACAAAAGAGCTTCAGTTTAAATAGACCCTTGGTCCTTAATGTGAATTTACATCTTCATATATTCTACACAACTCCTTTCTTAGCAAACCTTTGAATAAATTTACAACCGAGTATTGCAAACTAACTTTCCTTCATGTCTTATATCTGTTAACATTATGATGCAAGAAAAACTAGAAAATGTCTGTAAGACATGAATGCCCCCCTCCCCCCCCCCATGTGAAATAATAGTGAAAGGTCCGAATGAAGTTGTTAGGTGGTATATACTGATTTGGGACGGGACGGAAGGACATGGGCAACGCTATATGCCCCCGGCCATAAATGGCGGGAGCATAAAAATCAAAATACAAAGTTGCCCACACCCCCTAAAAACTTGCTAATTATGTGGAATCCAGAATTTATTCATGGGTTTTGTATATTTCATATACCTTTAGTATGCATTTCTGATTGCATTCCAGAGATTTTAAACTTCAAATGAACAGAGCAGTGAAGGCATTCGGATGAATTGGATGTTGACAATAACATAAAGATAGGGAAGACCATGTTGGAATTTGCGTTTAGGGATTTTAATCAACAATGACAGCATGAATATAATGATAAATCTGATAAAAATTAAGCCTTTATTAAGTCAAAAGTTACAATCAAAGTACTGAAATGTTAGACATGTTGGCAATATATATATATTTGTCACTTTAAATGCAAGATATAATCCATTTATTTTACAAAAGAAGCAAACACATAAAAAGTCTGGTACTGTTATATTGTTCCTGTTTCTCTTCTCACAACATCATTGTATGTTACCTATGTCGCATGTGAAGAAGAATATGAAATTTTGATACCAATGTAGTTTTGCAGTAACAAATATGATTCATCCCACAAATTAAATTTTTCACTTCTACCCAAGTCCTGGCCTGAATGACATCATCTTCCAGATGATTGTACAAATCATGTGTTTAGTACGGACACCTAAGTATGCAGCATGCTACATTATCACTGGAATCAAACCTTCACACATGTCTGATTCCTGTGCAGTGCTATTACAAAAACATTATGTATGCTCAAACCTAGTGTCACAGTTACTCAAACACTGTCCACATCTAAACAGATGGACAAGGTAGGAAAATACTAGTTTTGAATCAAGTACAAAGACACTGTTCACATCTAAACAGATGGACAAGCTAGGAAAATACTAGTTTTGAATCAGGTACATAGACACTGTCCACATCTAAACAGATGGACAAGCTAGGAAAAAACTAGTTTTGAATCAGGTACATAGACACTGTCCACATCTAAACAGATGGACAAGCTAGGAAAAAACTAGTTTTGAATCAGGTACATAGACACTGTCCACATCTAAACAGATGGACAAGCTAGGAAAAAACTAGTTTTGAATCAGGTACATAGACACTGTCCACATCTAAACAGATGGACAAGCTAGGAAAAAACTAGTTTTGAATCAGGTACATAGACACTGTCCACATCTAAACAGATGGACAAGCTAGGAAAATACTAGTTTTGAATCAGGTACATAGACACTGTCCACATCTAAACAGATGGACAAGCTAGGAAAAAACTAGTTTTGAATCAGGTACATAGACACTGTCCACATCTAAACAGATGGACAAGCTAGGAAAAAACTAGTTTTGAATCAGGTACATAGACACTGTCCACATCTAAACAGATGGACAAGCTAGGAAAAAACTAGTTTTGAATCAGGTACATAGACACTGTCCACATCTAAACAGATGGACAAGCTAGGAAAAAACTAGTTTTGAATCAGGTACATAGACACTGTCCACATCTAAACAGATGGACAAGCTAGGAAAAAACTAGTTTTGAATCAGGTACATAGACACTGTCCACATCTAAACAGATGGACAAGCTAGGAAAAAACTAGTTTTGAATCAGGTACATAGACACTGTCCACATCTAAACAGATGGACAAGCTAGGAAAAAACTAGTTTTGAATCAGGTACATAGACACTGTCCACATCTAAACAGATGGACAAGCTAGGAAAAAACTAGTTTTGAATCAGGTACATAGACACTGTCCACATCTAAACAGATGGACAAGCTAGGAAAAAACTAGTTTTGAATCAGGTACATAGACACTGTCCACATCTAAACAGATGGACAAGCTAGGAAAAAACTAGTTTTGAATCAGGTACATAGACACTGTCCACATCTAAACAGATGGACAAGCTAGGAAAAAACTAGTTTTGAATCAGGTACATAGACACTGTCCACATCTAAACAGATGGACAAGCTAGGAAAAAACTAGTTTTGAATCAGGTACATAGACACTGTCCACATCTAAACAGATGGACAAGCTAGGAAAAAACTAGTTTTGAATCAGGTACATAGACACTGTCCACATCTAAACAGATGGACAAGCTAGGAAAAAACTAGTTTTGAATCAGGTACATAGACACTGTCCACATCTAAACAGATGGACAAGCTAGGAAAAAACTAGTTTTGAATCAGGTACATAGACACTGTCCACATCTAAACAGATGGACAAGCTAGGAAAAAACTAGTTTTGAATCAGGTACATAGACACTGTCCACATCTAAACAGATGGACAAGCTAGGAAAAAACTAGTTTTGAATCAGGTACATAGACACTGTCCACATCTAAACAGATGGACAAGCTAGGAAAAAACTAGTTTTGAATCAGGTACATAGACACTGTCCACATCTAAACAGATGGACAAGCTAGGAAAAAACTAGTTTTGAATCAGGTACATAGACACTGTCCACATCTAAACAGATGGACAAGCTAGGAAAAAACTAGTTTTGAATCAGGTACATAGACACTGTCCACATCTAAACAGATGGACAAGCTAGGAAAAAACTAGTTTTGAATCAGGTACATAGACACTGTCCACATCTAAACAGATGGACAAGCTAGGAAAATACTAGTTTTGAATCAGGTACATAGACACTATCCACATCTAAACAGATGGACAAGCTAGGAAAAAACTAGTTTTGAATCAGGTACATAGACACTGTCCACATCTAAACAGATGGACAAGCTAGGAAAAAACTAGTTTTGAATCAGGTACATAGACACTGTCCACATCTAAACAGATGGACAAGCTAGGAAAAAACTAGTTTTGAATCAGGTACATAGACACTGTCCACATCTAAACAGATGGACAAGCTAGGAAAAAACTAGTTTTGAATCAGGTACATAGACACTGTCCACATCTAAACAGATGGACAAGCTAGGAAAAAACTAGTTTTGAATCAGGTACATAGACACTGTCCACATCTAAACAGATGGACAAGCTAGGAAAATACTAGTTTTGAATCAGGTACATAGACACTGTCCACATCTAAACAGATGGACAAGCTAGGAAAAGACTAGTTTTGAATCAGGTACATAGACACTGTCCACATCTAAACAGATGGACAAGCTAGGAAAAAACTAGTTTTGAATCAGGTACATAGACACTGTCCACATCTAAACAGATGGACAAGCTAGGAAAATACTAGTTTTGAATCAGGTACATAGACACTGTCCACATCTAAACAGATGGACAAGCTAGGAAAAGACTAGTTTTGAATCAGGTACATAGACACTGTCCACATCTAAACAGATGGACAAGCTAGGAAAAAACTAGTTTTGAATCAGGTACATAGACACTGTCCACATCTAAACAGATGGACAAGCTAGGAAAAAACTAGGTTTGAATCCTTAATCAATCAAGTGTCTTAAGAAAATGTAATTTCATTTCATCAGAAGCAACTAACTTGTAATCATAGCAGAATTAATTGCTAATGTTATTTCCTGTCTTTTAATTGGCGAATAAGAAGACTCTAATCTAGATTATTTCCTATCACAACCATTTCAATTATTGCATCATGAGCACAATATGGTATCCTCCAAATCTTTAATGCGTACACTTGTGTTTTTCACACGAAATGTGTTGTTCACGCAACTGCACCGACACATAAAATTTCACATCAGATGTTAAAAAAAAATGTGTATTATTTATCCCAATCCCAAACAGGCCCTTTTGTTAATTGAACTTTGCCTAAAATATTCTTTCACTAAGATCAGTTAATGCATAACATTATGTGATGAGAAATATAAAACCAGAGGCGTTAATATGTGAAACATGTACATGATGACAGTAATTAAACAATATTAAGCTGATTTCTTTCCACATATAACTATGTGATACACAATACAATCTTTACTTAGTATACATGTATTCTGACTAGACCTAGATGAGACATGAAGGGAGACTTTAATCAATTGGTTGACTACAAATTTATAAGTTATATGATGTTAGATATTTCTCTGAGAATAAATTGTGCCTTGAGTGTTGTCTATGAGAAATATATTCTTCCGATATCATACAGGATTGCGGACACTAAAAGGAACCAGTAGGTATTTTTGGTGCATACTTGTTCTTGATTTTCCAACAATCTCAATGATATCTCATTGCTGGTTGCACCAGATTTGACAGATATCATTGTGGTCAAAGTGTGAATAGTTTAGAATTACTTGAAAATTGTTTTTCTGAATACATCATTGTTTTTTTTATCAAGAGCAAGTAGTCATGTAATCGTGTCAAGGTCTGCTTCCAGACAAAATGGCCACTGATTACCAGGTAGATGGGAGTGGGCAACTCTGGCCAAATTTTAGGAACTGCTGGCTGCAATAGACAGGTGGCTGCTCATTCAAGGTTTGTTATTTACAGTTGAAACTCGTTGTCTTGAAATCGCTTGAGTCAAAATTCCAAGTCCTGATTTTCACCCTTCTATATCTGTAATTTTAGTTTGGATGATCGAATTTCATCGAGTCAAATTTCGTTTGAGTTGCAGTGATTTTTCAGTCCCTTTAATTGTAAAGCAAGGGAAAAGTCATATATTGTCTCATACTAAATTTTGTCAAAACATTGGCACATCTTCTGAAGAAATTGATCAATATGTACACGGAGTTGAAAGTCACCTGTGCATAACACATGGCTAATTACATCATATATGTCTATATACACACAACACTTGGTCTCTGACAATTAATTACCACTTCAATTATCCAATTAAATGTTGGCTTCTTAATTAGTGTCACCATCCTGTAGTAGTGACTTACCTATATGTTAAATAAGTAGCACATTTACGTAAGACATGAAAAGTTAGCATGGTTGTGTGCATCTTAAGAAACTATCAAAATAAAACTGTCAAGCCAGTACAATTTTTTTGATGTAATTTTATTTAAGCCATTCCCAGAGAAACTAAGTTTTGTGCTCATTACTACAGGACTGCGAACAAGTATGTTGCTAGATTTGTACCTTGACAATGCAGTGATGATAGTATTTTTTCATTGATAAAGTCTATGTCTGTGCATGATTTAAGTCTACCACTTTTATAATGTTTTCTATAAAAGTGAAAACTGTCCAGTGCCTCGTTTTTCGTGTTTATTCATTCATTGTAAAGTCATGCTAATATGATCTGTAGCTTCATACATCATTTTGCTTATCAAAAGCAATTTTTAGTTTTGTATTATTGTCATTCTATATGTGCTTTGTCAATAAGAGTAGTGTACACAGAACACAGTAAATACAAATGTATTGTTATTACATTTTTTGTTATTTGGATAATTAAACAATGAATGGAGAAAGTAGAAATACATTTTTCTTGTTTATTTAATGCCATTTCAAATAATAGATTAATTTATGTGGTTTGTACCATGATGCACTGTGCTATCGTAGCCCTACTTCATTCAACCATATGTAATCAACATCTGGAAACTTATGTCGTCAACCTTATTTAGGCACTTTGAGTCGAAATTTGGATAAGTCAAAGTATTTTCTACTGTAGCTTGGATTTCAAGATAATGAGTTTCGACAAAAGTATTTTTCATCAGGCAGATCACAAACTGGCCACATAAGGGAGGTGACTGCTTATTTAAAGCTCGTGCTAACACAAAGTTTGACTGTACCTGTACTGAATATACCCTGTTGAAACAACATCATTTTCTAACCAACAGCAAGTGGTCTGTAGCAAAATTTACACTCTGAAAATTCAAACATTTTTTTCCAAAAAAATGTACCAGTTTATAATACGTATTTACACCATAGTATCATAGTAACATCAAATTTTACACCTGATCAGATTCTGTATAATAAAGCAGTCTGAGTAATGAAGCCACATTTGACAACTTCTACAATAAAAAAACTTGTGCAAATTTACATGGATTTTTGCTTGTGTCGGAGTTGGGGCATCTGTGGTCCATTTCCAGTTGTTTTATTATCTTATCCTATCATATTTAGTGTTTACTCTTTGTGTGTTGTTTTTCAGTTTGTTTGATAAGGTAGACCACTGTTTTTATTTTATTTGCTGATTGAAAGATAGCTTTATTTTCATTTAAGGGCACTCAACCTCGTATCTGGTAATAAGATATGTCTCATTTAATCAAATCAAACATAATAAAACTACGTGAATTACAATGAAAACTGCAGACCAAAAAATGACTCGCCCTTTAGTGAAACCTCTTCACTTGATTGGACGTTTTATTAAAAACAAAAAACAATCACTTCCATCCTCCACTGATTTTACAAGATTTCCCCCTGAATTTTTTAATGGCCTTAATAACCAAATACCAAGATATTACTAATATTGCAGGGTTGTGCCATACCTGTTTGCTACAACTTGTGGACAATAATAAAGAGAATTAATCCAATAGCAGTCCCAATGGCAATAAAATTTTCTAAAGCTTAAATACTTGAGCTGAGTTCCAATTAATAATTCTATCTCACTGAATCTTCTAGCTTTATTATTCTTTTAAATAATTTCATTGTAGATATCTAAATATAGGATGAAGTGATATGTAATTCTCCTACTAACAATCTCGGGGATCGATGCAAGACACATTAAACTGCTCTACATTTATGTAGTGATGAAGTTAACAGAAGATTAGTTTTCAATTTAACGAAAGTAAAAGATCGTGACAATAAACATGTACATACATTTATCCTGCAACCATCGCAAAACAAAACGAATACATATGCACCAGACAGTAAACGTACAGAAAAGAAAGAAAAAAAAGAAATTGATGCAGATGTTGTGTATTGGAATCGAAGCCACAATACACAAACATCGCATCCCGTTCATTTTTTCTTACTCACTTCAGTCGATGATGGGACGGAAGAACACGTCTTCAAATATTGTTTTATTGTCTTTATGTCACGATATGCTTACCTTCAATGTGTTCGACTGCAGTTTCTCCGCGGGGTCGTATAACCCCGCGGCCTGTTTGACATTTCTCGCCGCCATGTTTGACGGGTAAAAGTGGCAATTTTCACAATTGTCTCAAGACTTTGCCTCCGTTCATCGAATCAGGTCGTCATTATTGGATATGCATTTGAGAATAATGAATGTCAAATCCTCGAAATATATACATCTAAGGTGAACGGCTAAACCCTTCAACGAGACAGTTTATCGCATTGTCCGGGAAATCTAATCCTAATCATGATCACGTGACGTCAAGTTACAAGTGCTTGGAAAAAGTTTCGTATTTTATATGGTGGATTTTTTTCCCATCGGATATTATTCTTTACGAATAATTTGGATACCAAATTGATAGAAATGTTGCTTGAAACTAAATAAAAATAGCTGAAGATCGTTAGGACATGACGGTGTGCTTTTTCTATATTTACATACGAAACTAAGAGCTAATAAAATAGTAGCTCTACATGCTCTCAAGTGTCAAGTGTCACCACTTCGCCCTCGGAAGTTGTTGTTTACGAGTGTTCCTGCTGTCGAGGAGGATGCTTTGAGATAATTTTTTAAAACGGCGATTTACAATTTAAACATTTAAAAGAGATGTCTTGATGTTTATAGAACAGGATTATTAACGACTACTTTTTTAAAATGGCATCTCTGGCAGTCACCACATGTGGTCCCCGACCCCGGCTTCACACTATCTCAACGGAACTTGGAAGGACGTTTAACTGTTACACTTTGTTCCGGAAATCGTCAACAATTAGCGTTAATTACAATGACCTCGAAAATTCGGCTGCTGATAGTGTTTACGACAATGCTAAATCATTTGATGATATTCCAGGACCAAGAGGCCTGCCATTTTTGGGAACATTGCATCATTACAGGGGTTACTATTCCTTTCTTTCTTATTTTCAATAGGTAACAAAACATAAACTTGATTGAAATGGATATGAGAACTCCTTAATCCTGACTCATCCTTAGTGGCATCAGAACTTGTCACTAACTCAACTTCAATTACAGGCATATCCGCTCATTCAAAGGCACCATAATATAGGGACACCCCCATCCCGTTGCCTTACATATTCTGTGAATGCATTACATTAGCATACAAAATTCAAAACCAAAGCAATACGCACCATCCACCTACAGAAAATACAAGTTAGTTACTTCACTTTCGGCCACTTTTTTTTTTTATATCAAAGCAAATTAAGAATTTTGAATTTTTAAAAACAAAAGCAAAACAAAATTGATGGGAGTGGGGGGAGAGAATGTGGGAATGTGAGTATTATTACTGTGATAAGCAACATCACAGATCATATGTACTAATCCATGAAAGAAGAACCATGAACAGAAAGTTATAGAAAATCAAAGTTAACACCTGACATAAGATGCCTGTTTTGCTAGATAAATTACTTGTATAGAAGAAAAGTTGGACTGTCCATTTTATTCTGATTTTCTATGTTTTCTCAAACACCTGAACATTGATCTGGTTTTGATGAACTCTGGCCCTCTAACAAATGCAATGGTAATGAATGACCAATGTACAGTATATAGAGGACTTTTTATTTCTACAATCATCTACTCAGCTGAGGATCATTTCATTTCCCTCCAAAATGTGTGTGAATTACATGGTTAGACCAACAAATAAGACATTTGGCTGGAGGGATGTCCGTCAGTTGTTTTTTTCTTTACTGCCTTTTTATTAACAACTGTTATCTTTTGTTTTCAGGACCATTTCAGAAGTTTAACATAGATCGTTTCCAAGTTGCCTTACATGATCGATATCAGAAGTATGGTCCCATCATGAAGGAAACAATAGCTGGAGTAACTGCAGTTCGTTTGTTTGATCCAGACTACGTTAGAATTGTATATCAGAATGAAGGGAAAGTACCACATGTTGCTCCTCTTCTAGATACAACTCGTTTGTACAGGAGTCAGAAAAATATGTCTCCTGGCCTTGGTAACACGTAAGTCATTTTTTATGTCCATTATTGTTACATGTAAATATATTGGTTATGAAATTAACACCCAAAATATTTTGAACTATGAAAATTCCTTTAATTTTACAAGTATTTTTTCACACAGTATTTATAACAGTGTTGATGTTTCTTGGGGATTAAAATCACCTGCGAAATTGTTTCTATTTCAATCACATGCAAAAAAGTATAAAGTAAAAAGAGTGATCTATAAATTAAAAAAAAAATTCAAGTAGACTGGATCAAGAACCTACAAAGTGGTAAAAAGCACTAGACTGATGCAGACCAATTGTAATTAAGTGTACAGTGTACAAATGTTTTCCTTTGGCTGTGCTAATCAGGTCAAATATCAATTGTGAAATCATTTTGTCTTCAAGATTTAATATTTTCTTGTCAAGGCTTGCAAAAATAAAAACTTCCGAGTTATTCAATAATGTTCCATATGAAAGGAAAACTCATTTAAGGCTTCTATATATGAACCATTGCATATATATCCCCAGCCAAAAGTATATATATTTGATGTAATTGTATTTGTATTGTGGGGGGAGGGGGGAGTAGAGGATAATGGGTTTGAGCACAGCACAGCACTGAATGATTACTATATACATAGAAACATATTTGAGGGGGAAATTTATCGTAAATATTTAGAAGTTTTTTGGGTTCGAAAATTTCACCCATCTGTATGAATTTGCAACATGTTACATACATAATGAAATATTTATTTAATGCAAAGATACCTTTATAAAAAAAATACCCCCTTAAGTACAGTTTACAGTACTACAGTGAATAGGATAGTAATAGTTAATCATTTGTATATATATATAGATACATAACCAGTGCATTGAATTCCCTCTTTGCCTATTTATCCAGGAATGGGGATGAATGGTACAGACTGAGGAGTGCTGTACAACAGATGATGATGCGTCCGAAGGAAGTCACTGTTTACCTCCCAAATGTACAGCAAGTTGCTGAGAAATTTGTCAACAAAGTAGGCAACACCCTCCGCGACAAGGACGGACACGTACACAGCTTCAGAAGGGAGCTAGCAAAGTGGAATCTAGAGTGTGAGTGGGTTTAAAAAAAATCCTTTCAAGATTACGTTTTGCATGAATTTTTTCTGGTTCTGAGGAAAATATAAAATGAGGCAAATTAAAGGGGGAAAATAAAAGATGGAAGGAAAAGAACTTAGACTGTTTTGGTATGATAATATAATGGGATCACTTGAATATGGATACAATCATTATGTAGAGTATTTAATCAATAGTAAATCTGACATTAGAAATATTAATATGGCTTAAATAAACTCAGTTGCAATCCATCATCATTAAATGTTTCAACTATTTTTCTACACATTACATGGAAGAATTGACAGAATAAGAAAACTTTGTAATGTTTATAGGTAGCTTATCATAATCATAACATTACCAACCAGCTAACCAGACATGATTTTATAATAATAATAAACTTTATTTATTTTACAACATTGCGAAGCAAGTTTTTCCAACTTATATTAATCACTCTTGTTGGCTCTGATGGAAGCACGCGAGGGGTCTTAGTGTGGGAGGAAACTGAAGTACCCGGGGAAAACCCACGTGGTTGGGCAGGTGACCCCATACCTTTTCACATCCATTCTGGGAATTGAACCACTGCACCACTCCACCACCCTTAATTTTATCTCTAGTCTGGCATTATGGTACCTGGAGGGGGAAACATGTTCACTTGAGAATTTTGATACAAATGTTGCAAGATGCTATACCAAACTTTGTTGAAACATTGTTGTACATAAACATCCTTTTGAAATTATATCAAAACCTTTTTGACATTTTATGCTTGAATTCCTTAATAGATTAAGTTGATGAAATTACCAGTATTTCTGCTTGCATTCTTTTATTTGACATGGATAAGTAAAATTTTGTTACTCGTATTACTGAAAAGAAATCTCAATTTCTTTAACCTGTTTGAGATTGAATTGTTTATCTTATTTGTTTTTGTGATATTTATTAAAGCAGTCAGTTATATATCAATCAGTCAATGATTAGTGCAAATAATAGGATAAAAAAAAACAAAAAAAATGAGGAAATTTCATTTTTGATATAATCTGTTGATTTTTTTTATATCAATGCTAATGCTAAAGCGAAAATGCTTTTGGTTTCAGCATCAGGCAGCACCTGTTTTGAGACAAGTCTCGGCTGTTTAGAATCTGAGAAAGGATCATGGACAGAAAAAATGATAACTGCCAATAATGATATATTTGCTCTGTCTACCAAGATAACCTTTTCATTGCCTTTCCACACACTGTTCACTACACCGACATGGAAGAAGCTTGTTGCTGCAGAAGACTTCTTTTTCCTGTAAATGTTTGATTTTTTTTTATGAAAAATTCTTTTCTGAAAGATAATATTCTTGAAACTTTTCTGCAGCATGTAACAAGTTATTTTAATTCACTAGGTACATGTAATTCAAATATTGATTCTCAACATTTCCTTTATTGTTTTACTGCTTTAAAGATGACCTTTTCTATCTGATGAATAAATACTTTCAATATGTCTTCCTTATGGTATTTCCACACTAACAATCTGACAAATGATATCAACATTTCACACAGAAATGGTCAGAAGTTGGTTGACGAGACTTCAAAGAAGATTGAGGATTTGATATCTGAAGGTGAGATGGATGAAACCAAGTATAACTTTTTAGCCTACCTCCTCAGCAGGAAGGAACTCAGCTACAAGGACATCAGCATCATAACACTGTCACTTTTTGGAGATGGACTAAATACGGTATGGGATTGATAATAGAAAAATTAAAAGGTGTTTTCTCTCTCTCTCTCTCTCTCTCTCTCTCTCTCTCTCTCTCTCTCTCTCTCTCTCTCTCTCTCTCTCTCTCTCTCTCTCTCTCTCTCTCTCTCTCTCTCTCTCTTTTAAATTTTTTCTTTTAATTTGAACTTTTTGGCAAGAATTAATCAAAATCATTTACAGTTGACCATCTTCAAATCAAATATTGACAGTACCTTGTAACCCTCATACAATTTGATTTTTATTCATATTCTTCAGTGTTTTAGATCAATGTAAAAGTACAACACTGTAAAGAAATTGGTTTTATAAACATATATTAGGTTGATATTACTATACTCAAGGCTATTATAACTGTTGGCTTTAAAAAGACATATGAAAATACACAATATAATATTTCATGTTTTCAGACTGTCCCAGCAATAATATTTGCTTTGTATTGTTTGGCGAGGAATCCTAATGCACAGCAGTTGGCATATGAGGAAGTGTGTAGGGTGATTCCAGAGGGCGAGACCATCACGGCTGATATGGTAGCACGCTTACCCTACTTAAAGGCATGCGTAAAGGAATCATCAAGGTACAGATATAAACCAATATTTTAAAAAAAACATTCAAAATGACACCAGGTCACTTAGATAAATTCAAAATGGTTTTTGTTTGGCTTTTTTAAAACCAATTTGTTGGGTTTTGAAATAGAGTGACTCAATTGTTTGATTCAAATTTTGGTAAGACGGATCTTCAATACTTAATGCATGGATGTATTACAAGCTTTATTCTTGAAAAGTCTATAAAAACATAATCATTCGGTTAGCATTAATGTGAGCTTGCTTTTATATTGAATTTCCTAAGGGAGGTAATTCATCTAACACTGCTTTATGTCAAGACAGATGAGGTACGGTACACTTAATACTAAGATTAACTGATAAGTTAGCATGGCTGAAATTAAGGTTTGTCTTCATTTTTACAGACTTTATCCTATTGGCCTGGATATCAAAAGGATACCACAGAAAAATTTGGTCGTTGGAGGTTACAAGGTGCCTGCAGGGGTAAGATTTTTGTTGGTCTGGTGTGGGAGGTTACAAGGTGCCTGCAGGGGTAAGATTTTTGTTAGTTTTAGTGTGGGAGGTTAGAAGATGCCTGCAGGGGTAAGATTTTTGTCAGTTTTAGTGTGGGAGGTTACAAGATGCCTGCAGGGATACGATTTTTGTTAGTTTTAGTGTGGGAGGTTACAAGATGCCTGCAGGGATACGATTTTTGTTAGTTTTAGTGTGGGAGGTTATAAGATGCCTGCAGGGGTAAGATTTTTGTTAGTTTTAGTGTGGGAGGTTATAAGATGCCTGCAGGGGTAAGATTTTTGTTAGTTTTAGTGTGGGAGGTTATAAGATGCCTGCAGGGGTAAGATTTTTGTTAGTTTTAGTGTGGGAGGTTATAAGATGCCTGCAGGGGTAAGATTTTTGTTAGTTTTAGTGTGGGAGGTTACAAGATGCCTGCAGGGATACAATTTTTATGCTAAGAGCATTTTCAATGCTCTTCAGCATGTTGCTATCGCCCCTGAGGCTGAGTATCAGTACTTCGTTTTCATTGGTTCATAAATCGAAAGTTTACTCCTACTCCATCTGCCGGACATTACCGTAATCATTGGATTATCGCCCCTACAAGTTGCTGATGCTAGTCATTAAATGAAACAACCTTATCGACATTTTCTTCATTACCTGTATATCAAGAAAATGTTTTGTGTTGTGTATTAATGATAATCAGACATCGAAATTTGTAAATACAATGACAAAGACTCACGTTTATGGTGGTAAATTTTGCGAGGCGATGCCAATATGGCGGCTTAACTTTCTTTTCCGCGCGATGCATTGTGGGAGTCATATACATTTGTATATCTTTCTGTTTTTCTTTTTTCGAAAATTTACTTCCCGTTTAATACTGTTGATAACTATTAAAAATACTTATATATGTAGTTGAAAATAAAAATGAAACTAAAATAAGAATGATTTAGAGTAGCATAAATTTTGACGGAAACAGCCGGGGTGCTCTGTGCTGCTGGACCCTGAAAGAAGACGGCGGCTGAAAGAAGATGGCGGGTAATTCATGTAGGTAAGTATCACTATATATATATATGTTAGCTGAATTTGAAGTCAATACTTATACTGAACTATCAATTGCATTTTTTGCAACAATTCATTTGGAATGAGCCTTCGCGTCTATTGAATTTAGGCTGCACTTTTTTTTCAAAATATTTTCAAGACTTTTCCCTTGAAGCAGTATGCATTTGAAAAATGTTATGTAAGCATCTAGCACATTTTTGTTGCTTCCGTAAAGTATTTCAGTATTTTGAAATGGATTTATTTTGGAATGATCGTTTCATAATGGTCTCATCGCAGTCACTTCTGTCAGTGGCCCAACAGATCGGAAATTAACCAGAAAAAAAACTTATCCGTAATATTGTACTGTACTACTTACGCTACCGTGAATAGATCTAGGAATCTGTCTGGGTAATATATCGATTTTACTTTAAAATATCTGTCACTGTCCGCGCTATTGTATGTCTAGCTCTTTCAAATTTCTGATCGGAGATAATTTATAAGTACCCCAACGGCCCAAGGCCAGAGTATGAAATCGTACGGGAACTCTACAGCTATGCTAATTTTAAGGTTTACATGTGAAGTTAATATATATAGTTTTAGCTTAATTTTAGTTTTTGTCTTTCTGACATGATGTCTCGTTGATTCTGTTGAAGAGTGATGCATGTGAACGATTACAATATGAAGATTAGGAATAATGAAGATGTCAATTAACATCTGATTCCCGGAAAGTATTTTAATAAAGATTAGGATAAACCTAGCAAAGTGTTAGGTCCCAGTGTGAATGTGTAAAGTTCCAGTGTGAATGTGTAAAGTCCCAGTGTGAATGTGTAAAGTATTATTGGTACAATTGAACTTTTTGATATATGTACTGTATTTGTTCATCTCAGAAATTTCAGTATTATGTCAACTGCATCCACTTTCAGTTCAACACTTTTGATTCATCAATTTTACCCAGCCCTAGGCTCAATATTTGTCATTAATTGTCGACTGTTTTTTAGAGTTTTGTTTTCATGGTGAATGGAATGAAATGAGATAAATAGTCTAACCAATACCCCTCGAGAGCTAATTAAGACATTGCAGTATTATCATTTTGGGCCTTATTAAAAGTCAAATTGCAACTTTTAAGAAACTCAAGTGACTGTAAGTACAACAATAAGATGTCAATAATCAATGAAATTGATTAATTGAGAAGACATTTTCTTAGTACAGTTAACCAGGCTTTGTAGTGGTTTGTTCAGAACTGTAGTTCTGGTTAAGTAACCATTAATTGTGTCCTTTCAGTTACAATGACATACATTTTTGAAATACCTCTACTGTAGCTAAATATGGCATTTGTAATAGACAGCCAACATTAATTTTGTGATAGACATAGCCAAATTTAATTTTAGGATCAGTTAGGACAGCTACTGTTTGTAACAGGCATGGGTTCAATTACATGATGACGTAATTAATGAAATTACAATTACATTATGAAAATGGCATTGCCATTGCATGATGGTCCAATGTAATTAATTAAATTACACATTACCTTTCAAGTCATAATGATTTTTGAAATACAAACGTCAAAATAAATTATCATACTGCACAGATTTATCTCATGAATTTAACTTTATGATTCAATCTCTGTATGACCATGGTCAAGATATTCTTATTTTCTAGCTGTCCATCACTTCATAATTTGACAGTCCTGAATGTCAAAATAATTAATTATATTTAATATAGACTCCTATTGGGAAGTTCAAGACTATAAGCTTATACAGAAGTGTATATTTCTTGCACATAATCATAGCAATAAAGAAATATAGTTATTTATTTCCCTTACTCTCTTTCAGCAGGTGGATGTCCCTGAAGAAATGAAATCTGGAATGGTAGAAGGTATCTCTTGATTCTTCTAACTTGGAATTGGCCATTGTGACCAACAATGGATTTGAGGACCTTATGGTGGAGAAAAAGGTCCTTCTTTCCGACCTCCAATTAGATGTTGAAGATGGTTAATCACTTGAGGATATGCTAACAACCATGTTGCCTTTTAAGGTCACAGTACTCTCTAAAGGCGGCAATATATTTACCATCACAAAAGAAGAATCAACAAATGGCAGAAACTAAAAAAATGTGGAAAAGATCATTGTATGCTGCATTTGTAGTAAATTTCTTTACAATCTTCAATTTACTTAAGTAGAAAGATTCACTAGTTATACCAAGTTTATGTAGAAAGGCTCACTGTATACTGAGTTTGTAGTGTACATAGAAAGGTTTACTTATTTTTTTTTTCTGAGTTATGTATATACAATATATATAAAAACTTTTTGTAGAAAAGATCACCGCATACTGAGTTTGTTGTTTACAAATGTGTAGAAAAGATCGCTGTATACTGAGTTTATAGTTTACAATTGTCTAGAAAAATCACTGTATACTGAACATAATACGACTTCTGTTTAAAACCTTCATTTAAACTTAGACATGTATTTTTTTTTATTTATCTTAAAAGTCTACCTACAACAATTTTGTGTATGCAATCTTGTACTAGGATATTGACATGACAAGATTACATTGCTGATCAAAGCATGGAAAGAATACTGAATAAAGAAAACAAGATATAAGCATCTTTATCATGTTTTTATTTTTATTATTATCATTATTATTTTTCCATGATGTCTGTCCACATGGAATTTGTAAGCACTCTTGTGCATTCTTATACCACCAAAAGGGTGGGTAAATCGAATCAAGTTGTCTATCTGTCCATCCATCTGTTTGTCTGTCTGTAGACACATCATGTCTAGACAACTCCAATGAAACTACAGTAATATTCGGGACAATGTGTAGATGTGCATGCACCATTTTCCCCTGGAAATATTGATTGCCATGGCATCTGGTCAATATAGACAGGTTTTGCATGTCGGTCAACTTCTAAACCTGTGGACCAATTTCAACAAAACTTCGCAGGAATATTAGGGAACATGTGCACATGCCGCTGTGTTTCAGAGGATGTTTTTTTGCAAAAGGTCACCATGGGGAGATAACTAAGGCTGTGGGTGATGGGGGTATTAGCTATTTGGATTACAGTTTCAGTTATCCCTGGGCAATGTGGAGAGGATATAGTAATGATTTTAAGGATTGAATGTAGAGGTCACAGTACTTGCATAAGTACTATATGATTACCTTGTAAACGCATTGAGACCAAGACAGTTAGTATACCTTAATCAAATTTGGAACATGTATCCCTTGTGAGGAGAAGTCGGTTTCTTTAGAAATTCAGGGTCAGATATCAAAGATCAAGGTCACAGTCAAAAAACGGATAGTTGCATGGGGGTGTTTTTCCATTGTATTACCCTCGTTTTTCTATCAAATTTCACAACCTAAAAGATATTCACATCTTGTAAATTTCAAGGTTCAAGGTCACTGTAAGGATGTTAAAAAAAATGATAATACAAGAGGAATAAAATATCTTGTGACAAGTTTTAGAGAACAAAGAATATATAAACATGAAAAATTGGAACAAAGTCAATATCTACTTGAAGATTCCCAGAAAAAGTACAAGGAGAATAAGACCAGGTTTTCTGGAAGAATAGGCATCTTCTATTTTAAGTTATGGTGACAAGTCATGTTTGTTTTAGAAAATTGGCACTCTTATGCAGTCATTTACAAACAATCTGGAAAATGAAGCTGTCCAATATTTGTATGTAGCATGTTATTTGCATGATGGTCTAACTAATGGTCTTAAACCAATAGGATACACAGTCTTTAAAGTGATAATATGGTGTCCATGATCAACATTCCCTACAATGTATCCAAAGAAATGGACAACTTCCCTATCATTGCATCTTGGAGCCTACTTGGGACATGTATTACATAAGTAATACTACTATGCTTGTTATTTCTGATATCTGCTGGTCATTTTTTATGGGCTGCAATGATTTATTGATTGCATATAGTTGGTTTCAGTATATAGCAAGCTAATAACAAAGAATTTATTTTTTAATGGTCTTAGCATACCAGTACTTTCAGTACTTTGATTGTTAGTTTTAGTGTGGGAGGTTACAAGATGCCTGCAGGGATACGGTTTTTGTTAGTTTTAGTGTGGGAGGTTACAAGGTGCCTGCAGGGATACGATTTTTGTTAGTTTTAGTGTGGGAGGTTATAAGATGCCTGCAGGGGTAAGATTTTTGTTAGTTTTAGTGTGGGAGGTTACAAGATGCCTGCAGGGGTGAGATTTTTGTTAGTTTTAGTGTGGGAGGTTACAAGGTGCCTGCAGGGGTAAGATTTTTGTTAGTTTTAGTGTGGGAGGTTATAAGATGCCTGCAGGGGTAAGATTTTTGTTAGTTTTAGTGTGGGAGGTTACAAGATGCCTGCAGGGATACAATTTTTGTTAGTTTTAGTGTGGGAGGTTACAAGATGCCTGCAGGGATACGGTTTTTGTTAGTTTTAGTGTGGGAGGTTACAAGATGCCTGCAGGGATACGATTTTTGTTAGTTTTAGTGTGGGAGGTTATAAGATGCCTGCAGGGGTAAGATTTTTGTTAGTTTTAGTGTGGGAGGTTACAAGATGCCTGCAGGGGTGAGATTTTTGTTAGTTTTAGTGTGGGAGGTTACAAGGTTGCAGGGGTAAGATTTTTGTTAGTTTTAGTGTGGGAGGTTATAAGATGCCTGCAGGGGTAAGATTTTTGTTAGTTTTAGTGTGGGAGGTAACAAGATGCCTGCAGGGATACGATTTTTGTTAGTTTTAGTGTGGGAGGTTACAAGGTGCCTGCAGGGATACGATTTTTGTTAGTTTTAGTGTGGGAGGTTACAAGATGCCTGCAGGGGTGAGATTTTTGTCAGACTTCATAGGAGTTTTTTGAAAATATTTAAATTGACTGTTTGAATTCACTACTTATTTTGAATACACCTTCATTGAACAATGCTTCATTTACTATGTAAAACATGCCTTTTTTGATCTGATTGATATTTTCTGTGATTTAGAACTGGGTGTTTCAGAGTCAAAATGGAGATGAAGATATACATAATTCTGAGGAATTCTTACATAAATTATCTAGTGTAACACCTCTTTCAGTCAGGAAACAGTAGTGTAACATATCATTAAAACCTTCTGTAAGTACCACTGTTTCCATTCAGTACTCCAGCTTTCTGAATCTATAGGTAAAACTAGCAACGCAACTTTCCACTCAATCTAGGTTGCCATTGAAAAAAAGAAAACAATGATGTTAACTTATTAGATGTAGTTAATAATCACAAATGATGTGATATGTAGAATTAAAAAAAAGGAAATCAATGTTTATGCAACTATTAATTGTAAACTTATCATCAACAAGAATTGAAGGGCAAGATAAAAGAGGGAAAGATAAAACGATGCACATCTATGGAATGTTAGAGTGTATCTAGGTGAATATACATCTTTACTCTGATTGTCTGTTGGTGGGAATTCATCCATAAAACTGATTCTGATATTCTTGATATACAGACAATTGTGGAGCTGGTCCCGTATGTAATGTTCCAATCACCAGAGCATTTCTCTGAGCCTGAACAGTTCAAACCAGAGCGATGGTTGAGAGATGGATCCGCCCTGAACATTCATCCCTATCTACTGACACCGTTCGGTCACGGGCCAAGAATGTGTGCAGGTATTGTTTATGAATTAATAAAATGTAATATAAAAAAATATGTATAGTTTTAAAAGGTAGTAATTCTCATACACTATATTTAAGCCCACCATCATCAGTTGGTTGTCTGTTTATATTGCTATTTGTCCATCATATCTCGTCTGTCTATCAACAGTTCTTGTCATCGCTGTTTCTTTAGAAATATTGAAACAGTATTTTTCGAATATGATTTGTTTGTTCCCCAATGTCCTTGGTTGTGCCCATTCAGTATTGTTTCCAATCAGTGAAATGAAATGGCAGACAGGCAGCCATCTTTTTTTTTATCAAATTCCTCATTAGTGATCAGAAACTATATACAATGCTATAAGGCTTTGTTACTCTTGAGTTCTCTGTTTGGTTTTAATTACACTTATTAGTAAATAAAGCTTTGTGTATTTGTGTGGTTAGCCTTGTGAAAATGTATTTTAGTACTTTTCATAGTATCATCTTGATACCGATTAAAGGAATTTTTATGTAAAGTTTCACTTCTTTGACTGTTGCCTTCAATTTGGAAACAGTTTTGTTTAGAAATCCACGTCTTACCATAGACCCAAATTCAAATACGTTCATACATGTGCAATCCTACATTAAGTCTAGTTACAGCTTTTGATTTTAACAATAATGATTATTGTAGATATATGCATGTTCCCATGACAGTAATTACTTTCATATATAAATATATTTTGGGAGAAGGTGTTCTGATGTTCTAAGGTTGACAATAATTATGCTTAAATCAATCACTGTCTGAATATTCGGGCAAATTTCATATGGCTGGATACCACTTACATAATGTTATCATCAAAATGATTTAAATCCTCAAAACTTTAAAACTTTCATTTGCAATCTGACGTTGCATAGTATGGCTAATCTTGATCTCACCTATTACTTCCATAGAGGCTGCTACAAGTCATAGAGCTTTAGACGTCACAGCTGTGGGGTCCCATTCGCACATGGTACACTTATACTGATTAGTAGTAGTAGGACACGTGAAAATTGTGTACTTTACAGGTCAATATCTTGGTATTGGGCTAGTCAAGTTTGATGCAGTTTTTCATCTGTTGAATTTGGATCATAAATAGCAATACTATATTCATTTCTTTTTTCACTCCTTTGAGAACATGTCATTTCTTACTGAGATTGTGCAAGAGTTGCTTGGTGGGAGTACCTGGTTTTATTCTTCAAGTCTTTTCAAGGGTCTCATTGTAAACCATCTTTTGCCTTCATTTCTTTGATTTGGAATTGGAATTTAGATTTTGTGGCTTTTTCTTGTATTTATTCAGCTACGCCACCTATGCCTACACGCTGATGAATACACTGATGCTTAAAAAAATCTGCAAAAAATGCACGTAAGGGTACTAGACAGATCAGGCAAGATAGAAAAATCTAGGATGGGGTATTACATGGGATTTCCCAGTCTGAGGTGCAAAAACATTGAAGATTGTTGTTTTATTATTTATGCTGTATATTTCATGTTTATACATCACCACTGACATTGTGAGCAAGAAGTCATATTCAAAAAGAAAAAATTGTTGTATTCCAGGGAGACGATTCGCAGAACAGGAGATGTATGTGTTGTTATCAAAACTATTGCAGAGATTTGTCATTGGTTGGGAAGGGGAGAACCTGGAACAGAAATTTCAGATGTTGATGGTTCCAGATAAGCCAGTGACTGTGTCTTTCAAGGATCGTCAGTGAGGGAGGAATTTCTACAGTAAAAGGGAAACTTAAGCCAGTTAATATTTTTAATGATGGTATCGTATCAATGATAACATTTTAAAAATGTCAATTTGACTTTTATGTTGCTGCAATGTAAAAGGTTAAGCTTAATTTCAAATGAATTCTGTTGAAGTGTGGTAAGGTAATTATCATTTTGTAACGATTCCATTATAGCTAACTGGAGAGAAATTCTCTTTTTGAGCAGTCTGTGAGATAGACATGTTAACAAAAAAGATTCATCTCCCAACAAATAAAAATGATCCTTAGCTATCAAACAGCAAAATTTAAATTAGAAGGAATTTTATAAAATCTTTTATATTGTAATCTTAAGTTGGACTGTAGGAGGAAGAATTATGATCACAGATGGTTACAGTCACAACACTATTACAGAATGAAAATTGAGATCACAGCACTGTTAGATAGAGAGGGAGAATGTCTCTGTTTAGTATTGATCACAGATAGTTACAGTCACAACACTGTTAGATAGAGAGGGAGAATGTCTCTGTTGAATATTGATCACAGACAGTTACAGTCACAACACTGTTAGATAGAGAGGGAGAATGTCTCTGTTGTGTATTGATCATGTATGGTTACAGTCACAACACTGTTAGACAGAGAGGGAGAATGTCTCTGTTGTATATTGATCACAGATAGTTACAGTCACAACACTGTTAGATAGAGAGGGAGAATGTCTCTGTTTACTATTGATCACAGATAGTTACAGTTACAGAGAGGGAGAATCATATTGATCACAAATGGTTACACTGTTAGATGGTTACAGAGAGAGAGGGAGAATGTCTCTGTTGTATATTGATCACAGACAGTTACAGTCACAACACTATTAGGCAGAGAGGGAGAATGTCTCTGTTGTATATTGATCACAGACAGTTACAGTCACAACACTGTTAGACAGAGAGGGAGAATGTCTCTGTTGAACATTGATCACATATGGTTACAGTCACAACACTGTTAGATAGAGAGGGAGAATGTCTCTGTTGTATATTGATCACGTATGGTTACAGTCACAACACTGTTAGACAATGAGGGAGAATGTCTCTGTTGAATATTGATCACAAATGGTTACAGTCACAACACTGTTAGATAGAGAGGGAGAATGTCTCTGTTGTGTATTGATCATGTATGGTTACAGTCACAACACTGTTAGACAGAGAGGGAGAATGTCTCTGTTGTATATTGATCACAGATAGTTACAGTCACAACACTGTTAGATAGAGAGGGAGAATGTCTCTGTTGAATATTGATCACATATGGTTACAGTCACAACACTGTTAGACAGAGAGGGAGAATGTCTCTGTTGTATATTGATCACAGACAGTTACAGTCACAACACTGTTAGACAGAGAGGGAGAATGTCTCTGTTGTATATTGATCACATATGGTTACAGTCACAACACTGTTAGACAGAGAGGGAGAATGTCTCTGTTGAATATTGATCACAGACAGTTACAGTCACAACACTGTTAGATAGAGAGGGAGAATGTCTCTGTTGTATATTGGTCACAGACAGTTACAGTCACAACACTGTTAGACAGAGAGGGAGAATGTCTCTGTTGTATATTGATTACGTATGGTTACAGAGACAGCAGTTGATAAAAAAAATTAATGTTGAAAACTAATGCCTTAGATAAACCATAGTTTTTTATGTTGTATTGGAAAAGCTTTTGTGATTTACTATATTTAATAGTGATGATGATAAAAGTGTTTGTGATAACCGTTTATAACATGTTTGTGTTGATCAATCACATAATTGCTTTACATTAATACTGTTTGTTGATTTTTATTATTTGATTATTATTTAGAAGCCCCAATGCTAAACTTGACCTTTACATTTTTGCCATTTCATTTTTATAATTTGTTATGCCATAGTGTATTCTTAGATACTACATGCATAATATGACCTAACTACAACATTACTACATCCAGAAAAAATTGATCACATGCTATCGTGTGCTGTCATTTATAGGCAGAAAGCAGCAAAATGAATACTATTTTACTGTGGAGAACAAAAATACATTAGTATTAGCGTAATACAAAGTCCAATGATATTTAATAGTATGGTTTAAAATGTACATAACAATAGCTAGTGCATTACATTTGATTTATGTGAGGGGTTGTTGTGTTTCAGGTTCATAGAATGTAAATAAGCTATATATTTAGATTTCTTGATTAATTTAATAGAAGTCATTATTATTTCAATGACTCCACTAGAAACCAAATTTGGAACCTTTGGCTTGCTAGTCCGATGCTCAACTGAACCAGCTGAAGAAAAGTTCTGTATAGGCGCAACTTAGTACCCGTATTTCCATCACTACCTCCTGGGCACTTATGAGGGCACCACTGTAGCATAAGGCCTCATTTATATTAGTGCCTTTGGTACAGATCAAACCCAGAACCTCAAGTTTACTAGTCTTGTGTTCAACAGATTTGTTTAGTATTTACAAGGGTTACCCAGCCTTCAGTCTACTTTAATAGTTTCTAGTATACAAGATAAATATGTAACATATATCCATGTTTTGGACTGAAATTATAGCAGCTTTTTGTTTCACATTAAAACTTTCTCAAGTATTGGTAATTCAGACACTATTAAAGATGATCAAAGACAGCATAGGTATCCTGATAGTGCCCTCCTTAGTGTTGGAGATATATTTCATTTTTGGGAACCTTGGTGAGTTTCCTAAAATCTCATATGAAATAAAAACAAGTTTAAGATACTTTTTATCACAAAAAATTGAAAAGTTTCATTACATAGATGTGTACATGATGTAAAGTCATTGTAGTGCCATGTTATAATACCACAATTGATTTCTCACTGACATGGCCAATTAAGAAAAGCACCAAGGTATATTACACTGGTGAAATATATTAAAGCTTTTACATTGGTAAATTCAGCAGATAACGGGTAAACTATGTATTATTCATTGTACCAGCACTATATCAGCACTGTACTCGGGTTTTACTGTTGAATTCACAACCAAATACTTTCCAATTGTGATATATCAGGAGTATTGTTGTACATGAGAGGTATAAAGAATGGTTTGTGGTATTTCTGTGCTGTATGCCAGGTTGATGTATTTCAGTAATTATTCTTTATATAATTTTTTTATTTATGAGATCATTCTACGCTGTTTAATTGAATTATAAAGCTATTAAAAAATATCAAAATACATATCAGCTTTAACAGTCTAAAATATTTTTAAAAAAAAAGATTATTTTTTTGTGGGAGATGTCTCTGAAATGAATTGATAAAGATTTTGATGTTATAAACACAACTTTAGATAATATATCTAGTTCTTCAGTATCAGCTGGTATTTTACTATCTGTGTCTATTGTTATTGTGTACCAGTGTACTGACTATATATATAGATTATTGCCAATGATGTGAGATGTTACGTTCCAGTTCATTATATACAGTATTTAGGCCAAGTATACAGATTATTAAGTGTGAAATAACAACGTTAAATTGATAGAATTAATGGTTTGTATCTAACCAAGATAGCATTTTGTGTTTATATATTAGTATGTATGTTATTACAATATGTATATTATAGGAAATTGGATTTTTACTGTCCCGGTTTTGTCTTAGTGGTTAGAATGCCAGTCCATTTTTTTTACATGTTCTTTTTTTAATAGTTGTTGTAACATGCAGTTTGTAGTGTTAATAGTATACTGACCAGTGATGGGAAGGATGTGATATGATGGTATTTTTCAACCTATTATTCATATACTAATTATATAATATGTTTTTACTTCTTTTTTCACATGTAAGCTACATTGGGGCTTGTACATGTTGATGCATATCTTAGGCAAACTCACTATTTTCCTGATATATGTCCACAGTGATATCAACTAATCATACCGAAACTGTAGTAACGTATCTACTGTAAACCTTTATTTTACAGTCATTGTAAAACAGTCACATTAATCACTCCAGTTAGCTCTATTGAGGAAAGTCATCACTTACCGAACCAGAGCAGTCTGTGTGTCCTGTGGTAAGGATCACATACCAAACCAGAGCAGCCTGTGTGTCCTGTGGTAAGGATCACATACCAAACCAGAGCAGTCTGTGTGTCCTGTGGTAAGGATCACATACCAAACCAGAGCAGTCTGTGTGTCCTGTGGTAAGGAAGGTGATCACATACCAAACCAGAGCAGTCTGTGTGTCCTGTGGTAAGGATCACATACCAAACCAGAGCAGTCTGTGTGTCCTGTGGTAAGGAAGGTGATCACATAAAAAACCAGAGCAGTCTGTGTGTCCTGTGGTAAGGATCACATACCAAACCAGAGCAGTCTGTGTGTCCTGTGGTAAGGATCACATACCAAACCAGAGCAGTCTGTGTGTCCTGTGGTAAGGAAGGTGATCACATACCAAACCAGAGCAGTCTGTGTGTCCTGTGGTAAGGATCACATACCAAACCAGAGCAGTCTGTGTGTCCTGTGGTAAGGAAGGTGATCACATACCAAACCAGAGCAGTCTGTGTGTCCTGTGGTAAGGAAGGTGATCACATACCAAACCAGAGCAGACTGTGTGTCCTGTGGTAAGGAAGGTGATCACATACCAAACCAGAGCAGTCTGTGTGTCCTGTGGTAAGGATCACATACCAAACCAGAGCAGTCTGTGTGTCCTGTGGTAAGGATCACATACCAAACCAGAGCAGTCTGTGTGTCCTGTGGTAAGGATCACATACCAAACCAGAGCAGTCTGTGTGTCCTGTGGTAAGGAAGGTGATCAGATACCAAACCAGAGTAGTCTGTGTGTCCTGTGGTAAGGATCACATACCAAACCAGAGCAGTCTGTGTGTCCTGTGGTAAGGAAGGTGATCACATACCAAACCAGAGCAGTCTGTGTGTCCTGTGGTAAGGATCACATACCAAACCAGAGCAGTCTGTGTGTCCTGTGGTAAGGAAGGTGATCACATACCAAACCAGAGCAGTCTGTGTGTCCTGTGGTAAGGAAGGTGATCACATACCAAACCAGAGCAGCCTGTGTGTCCTGTGGTAAGGATCACATACCAAACCAGAGTAGTCTGTGTGTCCTGTGGTAAGGAAGGTGATCACATACCAAACCAGAGCAGTCTGTGTGTCCTGTGGTAAGGATCACATACCAAACCAGAGCAGTCTGTGTGTCCTGTGGTAAGGAAGGTGATCACATACCAAACCAGAGCAGTCTGTGTGTCCTGTGGTAAGGA